TTTCATAAAGAAGCGAATTTATTGCAACCTATTTTTCAATTGTCAATTTGTCAAGATCATAATAGAGCATCAGTTGTATCGATTATTAGAGATCATAGAATTAATTCTGGCTTTGTCGCTAATAGCATCTCTCTTTCAAATTCGATCCGTATCGTTTTATCTGGTTGAATAATCTCCCAACCCCAACGAGCTTTAATCTCGGCGAAACTTTAAACAGCAAGGTAGAACACGGATAAACTATCGCGCGCGCATATACTCGAGGGAATTTTCACGACGAACAATCGGGGGGATAACAATCCCCAATAGACGTAAGAACATAACAGCGTGAAACGTAAGTTCCTATTTCAATGAGGAGAGATGTGCGCAAAGTTTAAAAGAAAAAGGCGGAGAAGTGAAAGAAGAAAAACAACGATATATTGAAAGTAAGGCGTGTAAATTCTTAAGGTGAAATTCTCAGGGTGAATTTTCATTTTACAAACTTTACGTTAATATTAATAATTCATTGTAACGCTATAAAATTTTATTTACTTAAGCTCATTTGATTCAATTATTTAAAAATCTGTGAAATTTTCCAAGCAATATAAATCTGTCAATATGCACTGAAAAAAAGAATTTATTACCTTGACTAAATCTTTCAACTAAATATTATTTTATTAATTAAACATATAAAAGTATTATATACCTACATATATATAAATTAAATATTAGATATATATATATATGGAATACAAATATATGTTCAATTAACAAAATAGTAATTTAGTTGGAAGGTTTAGTCAAGTTAACAATTCTTTTTTTTTCAGTGTGTGCGCGAATCTCTTAGACGTCTGTCTCTTGAGTATTTGCGTTATTTAAATCTACCGTTCATTCAGAGAGAAGCCAATAATTTGAATACCGCATTAATCAATTCGGACTTATAATGTTCGTACGTCAGCGCGCATATTTTCGCGCCGCACGAATAATCGCGCAGATTGTAGTCGATATTTCACGTCGCCCTTACGTGACGCATCAGCGCGTCACGTTCCCTAATATTGAAAATGCGCTATCCGGATACGGTATTCCGAAGGACGCGTTACGTGACGCGCCGCGCGGAAAAGTCGCGGAATCCGTTTGCGGCTGCGCTTCAAAGAGAAGATAAAAGGGAGAAAGAGAGAGTGTGTGGGAGGAGGAGAAGCAAAGTCGTAAAAGCTGATCGAACCCGTAAGAAACCGGCGCCATTTCCTCTCCCTCTATATATCCGCGTTTCCCTCCTCCGTTTCCTAGTCCGCTTTCCTTTCCTCTCCTTCTTCCGAGAGAGTCGCCGCGAAGCTTCCCGTTTCTATGTTCCGCCTGGATGACGAAGACGCGGCTTCGCGACTCATCGTACGGTTACTAACGCGCGGTTACAGTTATGGTTGTTAGAGAACCGGCACGTTGCACTTCTATCGGGAGCTTCCCATGTTTCAGCAAAGAAACGGACGTGTCTCTCCCCAAGGAATAACTGTATTTAGAAACTGACATACGCGGTTTGCCTCTGATCCCCTCATTTTTGCTTCAGCGAATTTACAAACACCTTTTCACGACAATGCGAATACAATATACTCAATATTGGTATAATAGTATATTGTGTATCAAGTGCGGAAAGTTGACAATTGGTCACGAGTGCAAGGGATGGACGCACGAGCCGAAGGCGAGTGCGACCACCCCACACGAGTAAACAATTGTCAATCCGCACGTGATACACATACTATTTTGTATTACAAGTGCAGGCAAAGTGGCTTTGTGCGCGTTTTCTGTGCGCGAGGTGGCCGATCGCACGCCGCCATCTTGCGGCGGCACGGTGCGGGAATAGCCGCGTTTAAAGTCATTGCCCACGGCTAAAGCCATTGCCTACGGCCTCAGCACGGCTTTGAATACGGCTTATTCACTCACCGTGTCGCCGCTAGATGGCGACGTGGGAAATCGGTCGCTTTCCGCACAGAAAACACGCACATAAAGTGCCACTTTGCCTGCACGTGTAATACAAAAGCATATGTGAATCAAATATATAATATATACTTATATTGTCCAAGTCGTAATAAAAAAAAAAGCTAAACTTAAGCTTCTTTGCTAGCAGAGATGTGTAAAATATAATATATTGAAACGTGACTGAAAACTCGGACGCACAATATTCGAGAGAACTGGATCAGTCTCTGCGTTCTCGTAAATGCTCATTAGGAGAGATTAAAAGTCGAGAAAACACCTGTTGAGTATGCGAAAGGACCAATCGGAGCCGAGTTTCATTCGCACCCCACAAAAGAAATAGTATTAACGATCCAAAGCCGAGGAGGCGGCTTTCGTGCGAGCATAATAAGAGAATGCTGTTATATAATTAAGCGGTTTAACAAGACGAAGGAAACGAATTGAGTTTTTCTTTCACTTTTATCGTGCATATAACACCGTCCGAGAGAAGTGATGTAATGAAGTTGATTAATTTATTCAAATGTCAACTTTAATCTCACGTCGTCCCGTCGGTATAAACCGGTTGTAAAATCAAAGAATATTTCAATCGCGAACAGTCCGTTCGATTTTATCAATTAATGCTTTTTTTGTCGTTGCTGTAATAAAACGATTCTCTCTTTATTCGAGTTAAGAGTCTGATTTTTATTCTCGCAAAATCTTAATCTTGAGAGCAAGAACAATTCTTACTAATTGTAAGTACGACTAGAGAAGAATCGTTATCCTCGTAAAATTCTACTGTCCAAAATTACTTTCGACTCTTGTCAAATTAAAGAGAGCTCATCTAAAATTCATTTTTTAAAATATTCTATTAGTCGAGAGCGCGCGAACTCATATTTCTCAATTTATATTTATAGCACGATTCTGCGTCCGAAAAAGGGATATCATCCTTTTCCTAGCATCGTAGATTAGAAATAAATTTCGCCAAAAGCAATCCCGGAGGAGAACAGCGCGAATAAAACCAGAGGGCGAAAGTAAGAAGGAGGGAGGAGGCAAAGGAATAAAGGGGGAGAGAAGAAGGTCATGTTTACGAGCCACGAGAAAGACCCGACGGGTCCTTGACTTCGCCATAACGGCCGTATATGAGGTTTCCTTGTAGGTCCTCGAGGCAGTAGCAGCTGCCGCTATCGTCCTCGCCGGATATCGAGATTGTAGTCGGAAAAACCTCGAGGATCGCAGATATCTGAGGGCCGATGAAATTTTCCGCGATCGAAAGGAAAGAACGCGAAAAAAAAAAGACAATTCGAGGAAAGAATACTTTCGGAAATGCACATCGAGACGTTTACACGCAATACACTGACCAAAATTATCGAATTAATCAATATTTATCTGTTTTGAGAAGAATTTTCTTATATTTTTCACACGTCAAATCAATATTATTTTCAAATAAATGATTTATTAGGTAGGATTGAAATAAATATGTCTTTCAGTGCAATAAATAACGTTGATTAATTCGCGGTTATCTGTATAGAAGAACGATGATTGTCGCAAAAAATGAAGACGGAGAATAAAGATCGAAAGATCTTGATGCGCAAGGATAATTACGATATATAATATCGCGCGTTTTTTTCCGAATCACGGAAGAGAATCATCAAATTATAAAGTTATAACTCATTGCGAACAACGAAAACAATATATGCTCGCGTTGCGGAAGGATTCTGATTGCAGATTATGCGTGAAATCCGATGATGTTCCGATTAAATCGTACCTTATTTATTAATCGCTCAACTCTGCCGTAACACTTAAGTGACTACATAATTGTGGGATTTTCCATTATATCGATATCGGAAGATAAACATTGCTGCGCCAATCTTTAAATCTCATCGTTCTTGGAATCGTTTTCTTAGCGCCATTTTTATCCGCATACTTAATAAAATTGCTTGCTCGCGATATTTTAAAGACCGAGCGAGAATTCCGATAACTACATTATATTCTTGGATTCGAATCGAATAACGTTAATGGCTATGATTGAGAGAAGATTCATTAAAACGCCGCAAATTATGATGGATTTATATACACAGGGCGAAGACCAGAACGGAAAGCTATCGGTTAACGTTAATTGAAGCGGTCAGTGAATCTACTTGGCGAAGTGCCTCCGATTACTAACTAGACGGAAGTGAAAGGACGCGGGAAAAAGGGCGAGATGGCTCTTAAAACACAAGAGAAAGATCTATTAAGCGATCGGACAACGTGAAAGGTCGGGATCCTGCGGCGCTTGAATAAAGATGACGATAAGAAATGGACGTCAGCCCGATTTTCTCGCCTCTCTAGCTCGTTAATTATTCGCGACTTTGTAACTATTTGCAAACGCGATAAGCAAAACGCGCGGCGCTTAATAAAATGCCATTTAACTCTGAAAGAAAAATAAATTCGCCCGTTTTAGATCTCGATACGACGTTTAAATGCGCATGGCGAGATGCAATCGTGTGCGGCAAAATTGATCGACAGGTCGGTATTCGTCCCTACTTTCATTTCCCTGTGCAGAAACATTTTTAACGTCATCTCGGTGAATGAGAAAAAAAAAAGCCACGAAATGCTCGGTGTTGTCAATTTAACTGACACACAACGCTATCCTCTTCATCGAATAAGAGAGAGAGGGAAGAAAGATTGAAAAGCATTATTGTGTAAAATAAATTAATGGTCGGCGAACAACAGCTGTTTCAATTTCCATTTGCGGAAATATTATACTTGATCGCGGTAGTTATATTTAAAAAATATTAGTCACACGTAACATGATCGTTATTAAAGTACTTAGCAATTGATAAGGTTACATCTTTAAAAAATAATTATCTATATTTTCCCTCTGGCTCCGAGCGGAGCCGTAAATATCTTCGTCGTTTGAAAATATTTTGTAAAAACAAAAAACTATACATATATAAATTTCGTATGGGAATCAGTATTCGCGAACATTCCCAAAGAAATAATCAATAACGCCATACAGGCGGGTACGTATACGAAACCGCGCGTGGTGGAAAAACAGTCTCGCCGGCAGCAGACGGGAAATAAATGGAAAATGTACTCACCCTGATGGGACCACAACGGAAGAGTGTGCTCGGCGCGGGGACATGTATGTTGTTGGAGTGATGATGATGCGCGTGGTTATGGTGGTGGTGATGATGGTGTCTCGTATCAGGACCACCTCCCGCAGCCGCTTGCTCCGCTTGGACAGACATCATCGCGCGTGCCTGTCGATCTCGCTCCCGAAGCCGGTCTCGTTCCACGCTGCAAACCGAAATTACCGTCCGGTCAGTTCCAACTCGCATCAAATGCCCGCGCGGGCTATTATAATAATTGGAAAAAATTATAAAATATAAAAATCAAGTATTTCGTGCAAATTTTTATCCTTGTGCAAGTGAGTTTAATACATATAATTATAGCATCAATTTATTGTAAATGACAGATGACGTGTCACGTGCTAGACTTGTCATCATTTTTGCGTCTTGTCAAATCTTCAATGTTTTATGAATTTATAATACCGTCTATTGTTGGTCATAATTATACCGCTCTAGTTGTTTGGCGTGAAGGTCGATAAACGGAGGTTTTTATATCTGAAAAATGAATTCACGAAGGAATTTCGTTGCTTATATGACGCAGCGCCGAGAATAACTATCGACCTTTTAGAAAGCATTGATGCAGAGACGAGAAACGAAGAGCCGAGACAAGGCGAAAACGAAGACAGGACAGAGAAGGGATTCGTGACGAAGCATAGTGAGGGCGATTGCAGCTGGCGCAAACACCTGTTTAGTCGCGTTTCCGGTGACGCCGGACGTTATGTGCAAGAACGAACGAGACACTACGATTTTGTAACAGTTTTGTAAGCATTTATAAGAAAAAAAATAATTCTAATAAATTTATCGCAGTTCAATGTCCGTCTAGACATTAAAAAAGTGATATATTTAAAGATCATTTCCTTATAGATGTTAATTTTTTAATTTACATATCTTTATATGTGCAATTAATATAATCTGTAAATCTTGACTAATTTTCAAAAAAAATAATGTAGATATTATTCAATAATTTTTTTAATTATCATTAAAAATAATAAATTTTAAAAAGATAATATTTAATATATTATTTCATGAAATTTACAACGCTTTTGACGAGGTTTTCTCTCCTGGAAAAATATTTCTACATCATACCGCATTTTTGTGTCATAACAGTCTTCCTCCGCAAAATATCGCGTATAAATTCCCATTATCAGCCTTTTTGTATTTCAACTCGCGGCACGTAACGCAATCAAAATAGCGACTATGGGGCGAAGAGCGCTTTAAATAGACGTTTAAAGGTCGGTCGGGACGATTTTCCTTCTCGTATGTGCGTTATCTGACATACGTTTGCACGACTTGTCAAGGCGCGTGACATATACTACTTATATGGTCGTTGCGAAATATTTTCGAGTTTATTAACGTAAGTAAAACGCGACGGGGATCGAAGGAAAATCCCGGAGCACTGGGGTCGTTGTTTTGCTTTTAATCGAGCAAAGCAACTTTTCTCCCGTGAGAATATGATAACGTGCGTAATATATATCAATACGATCGAGAAACATTTTCTTAGCACATACGTTATGCTCGACAGAAAACACCGATATAGTATATTACGGAGAAAAGGTCGCGCGTTGTACAAAGTGTCAAAAGGTTGCGGTAGCGATAAATGTTAAATAATAAATTGGCAATTCGCGATGAGCATACAAAGTATAAAGCGAATTCTGATATTTTTTTTTTCCTATAAGGTACTTATTTCGATGAAGAATCGATTACTCGAAGCGCGATACTTTCGCTGCGATGTGACAAGAGAAAGAAAAAAAACGTGCATGCCGATGGACAAACGCGGCTGTATTGTCATGCAAATTAAACACACCGACAGTAATCATTGTTCGCCGCAACCGCTTAATTGCGAATGAATGGTAAGAACTGCATGTCGTATTCAATCCTTCCGCTCTCTCGACTCCAGAAAAAAAGTCGCGCGCCAAACTTTTTCATTTTTATCGCATATCTGAGAGAAGGAATGGAGAAGGAAAAGCGGATTACATATACCCTAATATTCAATATTATATTATCGCTGCCGGTTAATTCTCACCGTATACGCAGGATATTTCCAATCTTAATGCAAGAACATTCGAGACACATTAAAATCACACACGATCGGTACTTTTTACCGAAATAATAGCGGTCTGGATCTATATATGATTGGATATAGCATCCATTTTCGCAAGTGCGCGCGCTCTCCTTCTATCTTATTAATTCAAAGCTGCTTATTATTCGTGACGGCAAGAAATATCCGACGGAAAGTTTAATCGCCTTCCCGGTCTCGTGCATGTAAGCGACTCGGTAATTTCCCCGTGACCCGGCGTGGTGTAATCGAGCCAAGTTAAGAACGGCTCTATTTGTGTCCCCGAGTGCGCGCACACGTTTGTGTGTTCCCGTTGGTATCCATTTATCCCATTGGAGTCCTTTTCGCACAGACACACAGACACACGTGTGCATGTGCATTCGGATTGCACGTTTGGCCGCGCGAATATTTCCTCGGCCCCGAATGCAGTCGCAGTCCTCTCTCTCTCTCTCTCTCTCTTCAGTCTCTCGTCGCGCACGTGACACTTTCTCGATCGATACCCCGACATCCTCTGCGTGTCTTTCGTCGGGCTTCTCTTTCTCTTTCCGCCGCTTCATGCTTCGCTAAATCAGCTCTAGAAAGTATACTCTTAACTAAATCGATGCCAGAACAAAAAACCAATCGCTCTTTTCCCGGCTAAGTCGCTCGTCTCGCTAATCGCCAATCTTGCGAAACTCCGAAACAAAGTATGTAAGTCGGAATCTCGAAGATAAATAAATATCTTCGAGGATTAAGACGCCGCTATATAGTGTCTATACATTTCAGCATGAAAACTTTGCATATCTCTAAAAGGAGATATTTAATTTAAAGTGCTTTAATTCCCTTATAAAATCTAAAGATTTATCAAGTTTTGTTAATCAAGTATAATTGTTGTGCAATTCAATTGCATTAATTGGATTTCCATGAAGATGAAAAAGGTGGAAAGTCAACCTGAGTGAGATAATTTTCTCTGATCGTTTTTCTCTCGACCCTTCTCGTTCTTCTTTCGCATAAAAAACGGGAAGGTATCAAGAGCGTCTCTATCCCGAATCCACGTGAGGAAGCAAAATTCCAAGCTAACACTCCGGTCGGTTCGTCGACTCGGCTTTATCGAATATCTAGGGACATTGTCACCGAACGGTCGAAGTTCATTGAGCTAACGAACTCGGACCGCTCTGCGACAAGTGGTGAGTTTCTCTCTCCGCTGGATGTTTGCACGATCGAAATCCCGGATGGTCTCGCGTCGAGGAATGGATCGGACAGTTTTCAAAAATACTCGATTAACAATCTGGCACAATCAGTCGTCGACGACGTCTATGGAGAGTCGCGTATCGAAATCATCCCCGCTCTTGTGTAATGAAATCGATTGCCTTTTTGAGTTCGGCATTCGCTTTTCCTTTTCTTTTTTTTTTTGACGATTCTTTCGTGTACGATTTTTGCCCGATGTGTGCGCGATCAATCATGGACCACGTTTATAGAGCAGACGATAATCTATATGTAGGTTCGTGCCATAAATAGACTTCAGATCGAATTAACTATTTTTACATATATCAAATGTTATTTAATCAGATTTTATTCAATTTAATCGATTATTTATAGGACCATAAATTTTTAAGGAAAAAGTGCGGGATTTATTCTTCGTCAAAAAGCATTTAATATTATTGATATAAATAATAAACTTTAGAACCGAGGAAAATAATATGTATCAAATTTCGTCTTCAATACTTCATTTTCTCATGTTCCGTTCACCTTTTAAAAGCAAAATTACGTGAAATAAATGACTTTCAAAGTAAAAGATTTATCATATTATCGTTTTATCGTTTTATCATTATTGCGGTTTATTATTCTTATTGCGAGCGTAGAATCTGTAGTATTCTGAATTTTATTGTACTTATTTAATATACTTTTTAAGTACCACGATTCTCCAACAGCGTTTTCCAATTCGCGACGAGCATCACGATCGATTTAATCCTTCGAGGATTAATTCGCGTCTCTTTCGTGGCCAATGTAGCAACGAAAATTAGCCAGCATATATATATATATATATATATATATATATATTAATACTGGGATAGTGAATGTAGCTCGAAGTAAATTTTTCTCGTCGTTCGAGCGAACGATTAGTAGCGGCACCCCGGTTCGCCCTGGAGGCGGAATATTGCCATCGTAGATAATTAATTCGCGTTAATCGCGGCCCATTTGAAATGGTAATGAGAAAGGGATGATTTAAAGCGGCTCTCGCCAGCTGCGATTCGCAACTCGTCGATAAGAAGAGAGAGAGGTGATAACGTAAAGCGAGAAAGAAAGAGAGAGTTCACTGTTGCTTTAGAGCCATTTTCATCCCTCGAGGGATGAAACAAAATATATGCGTTAATCGATAATTTCATAATTTATAATGATGTAATATAAGCGTTATATATGTTATTGTATTACCTGTATATAAAGATAATAAAAATCATATAAAGAGAAAAACCATTTTTAAATATATTTAGCGTAGTTTTTATTTCTGAAAAATGTTCAACAATGAAAGATAAAATTAAATATATTAGGAAGCTGAAAGTAAAATTAATGCGAACGGCAGAGAGAGAGGTAAACATTGATTGAACGAAATACAAATCGAAAATCCGACTTGATCTGCCTTAACCGCACGCTTCTCCTTCGTCGATCCGCGCTCGACGCCTATTACTACAGAGTTTCTAATCCGTCTCGATCCATCGTCTTGGCTTTAAATCCCGGATTACACGGTTATAGAGCGGCGTCAGCTATCGGCGTTTTCATCGACGGATGCCGCGATTTGCTTCCGCTCAGCGCGATTTATCAACCGTTCTCGCGGTTAGAAATACCTCCTGACATTGTTAACGAGCTTCCGCACTGCTCTTATATTAATTAGCTACGTCTATTTTTAACTTTGAAATCTCAATTTACAATTTTTTCTTGGAAATACGTTATATTGATATGCCATAAAAATGTTAAATACTCTTCTTTTTAGTCAAAAATCTATTTCAAATAATTCAATTAAGTATTAATTTGATATCTGAAATATCGAAATATATATCGTATATATATATTAGGCGATAAAATACAATTTTAAATTTATTCCTTTCTGCTTGGTATTTATTATTTTCTTATTATTT